AAAGTTGTGTTACACAACAAATTCTGAAAATATAATAAAAGTGACTGCTCAAAATGGCCGTATTATTTGTCAAAAGCCTGAGTCACCGTGAGTACTGCATGTTTTTTTATACATTGTACTCACAAATAGAAAACGAATGTTTCATACTATATCATTATAAGATTTTGTATAATTTTGTATCTCCTACATACACTGCAAGAGTGCAGACAAACTGTATACTGTCTCTAATATATAACAATGCCGGGACAAACTTATAGCAAAGTTTTAATTAATTTATGCATTTAGTTCGTGTGTGCTAATATTCCGTTGTGACACCATTTTGTGGTGTTTATTGGGGTGTATTTGTTATCTCGTGTATATGTGTGTGTGTGTTTCAGAATGTTATAAAGTGAGATGAGCTGTGGTATGAGTTTTGAAATATTAATATTCACAAATGCTTTGTTCAATTTATGCTGTGTGTGTTAAGTTGCTGATTGTTAAATTAACCCCTTTTCGATGATTTTTGTTTATTGTATTACATAGTACAAGCGGATACATGGATTGAGGTGTGGGTACATACTGCATATACCTCTAATATATGAATGTATGCCTATATGGGCCACAGTTTTGTTATTCGCAAAGGGATAAACAGTGGCGAACATTCGGTACCTACAATCGAAATTCACTACATTTAGCAGACGACGAGCAAGGTTAGTTCGCCGCCCGACCCGAACCAGACCCGTGCGTACAGCGCAGCGTACATCTCTCGCGCGCGCCTCAGATGGAGTCCAGTTCACTAGGGCTGATGACCGATACGGAGCCGCGGAGGGCCTTCGGGTTGTCGGGGCTTCGAAGAGCAGGAGTAGGAGCGTTCTTTCTCGCCTAACCCAAGGCGGAAGAAGTCATTGAATGATTCTCCCCCAAAAAAAATAGTTAATACAATTTTAATACGATTAACTTCATTTTCTATATTATTATGTTCTATATTACCTAAAGTTTTTAATGGGTAAATTATAACGATCAGTACAACTATTCGAAGCTGGTTTCTCGTAGCAAAAGGGATTTATTGTAACTTAATACAGGACAAACATCTAAGTGTACGTTAAGTTCAATCGTTAGCGCAACTTAAACAATGGTGTTGCTAAGTTGTGTAGTTAAAAGTTCCTTTTTTCTGGGAAACTGATAGTTGGGAGTTAAGTTAGGCCGTACTTTGTTAGGATTAAGGTAGAATTATATATTTATTTTGGAGCAATATCTCGTTGGTTGAGCGGTTGCAAGTGTGACTGCCGAGCATTAGGTTCGAAGCGTCGGGAAAATGATATTGTAGATTTTTCAGTTTTTCCGTCAATTGGTCAGTACGATAGCATGGCACTATAGTAAGCGATATACCTACATATATATTTTTAATATAAGTGATGTTCAGATTTAACCTAACATCACGCTTTTTATCCCAGAAGGGGTAGGTAGCGGTGCACATTACGTCACTTATAGCCCCTGTACAATGTAACACTCACGTTTCACTATTATGTTATGTGTCCCATGTATGTCCCATAATAAAAAAAACTCACCTCCTATTGGGGGTAAGTCTATTGCAATATATCAGGCACAATTGTAGACTCCGTTTAGACTTAAACTGGAAAAAATACAAGGGTGTAATTGGAACGCCCTGAAACTGTTGGACTAAAAAGAAAATATACCTTATTGGCTATGTGTTACAGTACAATCTCGATCTTGCGAGATCTCAATGTCACTATCGCAAGATCTCATTTGAGCCCAAATCTCGCAAGATTTGCATTCCCTAGTAACAGGAGTACTTAATTGTAAGTTATTTGCAAAAAATATAAACACTATTAAATCCCTTCACTGTACATTACATACAGAAATAGTTTAGCAATAATTTGAAATGGTAATTAAATATTTGGTAGATAATACTAACAACCTGGGCGAGGCCACACAAGTAGGCTTCATGTATTCGATTACCAATTATATTGTATAGTGTAGTTTATTGAGAACTATTAATTATTATTTGATATCATTATTATGTCTATCAAAGTTATTTACCGACAAATATCTATTTGAACTGAATTTTTTATTTGTATATCTAACCGAGATATAAACGTAGTATCTATTTAAATGTCATTTAATGTAATGTTTGCAAAGACTGTCTCGTAGACCGGGTTTCGGGTTCGATTCCTAGGTGGGGTAAAGTATTACTGGGATTTTTAAAATATTCTCAGTAGTAGCGGGCACAATTCCAGAGAATTGTGCCCGGTATTACATGGGACTAATAACATAAATTGTGAAAAGTGTGTTGCATTGTACAGTGCCATCAAGTGCCGTAACGTGCACCTCTGCCTACCCCTTCGGAGATAACATAACATAACATAACATCACGCCTTTTATCCCCGAAGGGGTAGGCAGAGGTGCACATTATGCCACTGTACAATGTAACACCCACTTTTCACTATTTGTGTTATGAGTCCCATGTAATAGGGGGTGAGCCTATTGCCATATACCGGGCACAATTCCAGACTCCGTGCTACTACTGAGAATTTTTTTAAAAACCCAGTAATTCTTTGCCCGTCCCGGGAATCGAACCCGAGACCCCTTGCCCGGCAGTCGCACTTGCGACCACTCGGCCAACGAGGCAGCCCTTCGGAGATAAAAGGCGTGATATGTTATGTTATGTTATTCGCAAAGAGACAAGTCTCTTTAGCTTTTTGTATCCAACTACCACTTGTGGTAGTTGGAAATCTTTAGCTTTTTGTATCCAACTATCACTTGTGGCTAAAAATTTTATTTAACGTAACGTGCTATTGAAGGGACTTGAGTTTATTATAGAATGAATCGGGTTGATGACTAATATTTTCATCAAGTACTTAATTGATCTAAAATTCTTCAGGTAATTGTGAAGGAATTTACTTTCATTCTAACAATTATATGAAATCTCCGGAATCAATATCTAAAAATACAATATCATAGGACATTTTACTCTAAAAACTCACGATAAGACACCAAAAAGTCATCAAAAATTGCATTAAAACCCAAACTCATTCTAAAACGTATTTCATACGAGCAGTGTGCATGAAATTGTTGTATAATGAAACGAGTACCCGCGGGACGTTCCGTATACGACCCGTGTTGTCAACGCGTTGATTGAATTTGTCACGCCAAAGAGTAGGTGCGTGTCGCTAGAAAATTTCGTGAAATGAAACATTTTTCACTGAATGCCTGTCTGTATTCTGTTCCAATTTCAATGTATGTCTAGGGATGGGATGACGACTTTGTTGCCGTCTAATTAAACGGTTTCAGTTGAATGTCGTTGTTTAGGTAAAGTGATGATATTTTGGGGAATTTTATAAAAGCTATCAAACACATTTAGTATGGTCGTGTCTGAATAGATTTTCGATTTCAATGCTCGAGCTAAAATTAATGTTTGAATTGAATTTTAATACCAATCGTTGGTTGAATTAGGCATCGTAAAACGCAAAATTATTGGACATTCACATAATAAATAAAAAACTGTTGGTAACACTGGCATTCACCTTCATTGTGCATATCGTTCATTCATGTTTATATAACTACATAAATATTTACAACTTAAAATTAACTACCTCTACAACTAAACTATTAAATAAAACGAAAGTAATAAAAAACTAATACTAAATGAAAGCGGCACATATTTCTCAACATAAAAGAACCCATACATATGAATACATCGTAGCTTCGTAGAAACAGACAATATCTCGTGTCAGTCACAACCCGTGGACACTCGTTACACCCAATTCTGGATAGTGCAAACAAGTGGAAACTTGTCACTGTGTCACATTCGTACATATTGGATGGACTATAGACAGCTTAATATTTATCATACTGCTGCATACGTTTCAATATGAACTATAACAATAGGTGAATAGAGTTCAAGGTTTATTGTGTCATTCAATGATTGGAATTGTAGAGGGTATCTGACCTCGACTATGAATACAGAAGTATTTGTTTTTTGAATTGTTTAATGTATTTATAGATTTTCGTTGTATTGGGCTTATAAGAGACCCTATACTTAATGAAAAATGTGCGAAGTGATTATTGAATGGCGAAAGAATTGTAATAGTTTCAGTAGAGTTCAACATATTCTTGAATCTGTCTACCTAATGATTAAGATGACTATCTTGCTCTTAAAAAGATTTCAGACATTCGAGTTACTTCAAAAAGGATAATGTATCAATACAGGTACCGAAATTAGAAAATGAAACAAAAATCTAGGAATAACTTAGCAGCTAAGTTATAATCGCTACCTAGTAAATCAATAACAAGATTCACGCCCATAATTTTCTAAATATAGACTGACATTACTGACTGACTTTCTTAAATATTTTCTAGATATGACTGCCTCGTTGGCCGAGTGGTCGCAGGTGCGACTGCCGGACAAGGGGTCTCGGGTTCGATTCCCGGGTCGGGCAAAGTATTACTGGGTTTTTAAAAAACCTCAGTCGGAGTCTAGAATTGTACCCGGTATATGGCAATAGGCTCACCCTCTATTACATGGGACTCATAATCATAACAAAAATAGTGAAAACTGGGTGCTACGTACAGTGGCATTAAGTGCCGTAATGTGTACCTCTGCCTGCCCTTTCGGGGATAAAAGGCGTGATGTTATGTTATGTTTCATTTCTTAAATATTATAGAACATTAGTTAGAACATAATATTCTCAGCTAAAACCAATATCCAATTGGAAGTTATAGAGGGGACGTGTTCAACAGTTTATCGCTGGAGGCTCGAAGTGTTCGTCGTGTGCATTATACAACTGCTGGCGACCGTCGCACTTTCGCGTTTTGAGGGTTAGGCCAGGAGCTGGCGTTGTATTAAATTAAATATCTTATAAGGCAATGGTTATGTAGGAAACAGTCTTGTAAACTCTGTTAATGATTATACAATTACCAGACCACCACAGACGGGGGCTGGGGGCCCAAGAGGGATGCCGATACGCAATCGTGGAGGACTTTGTTTGGGTTGCCAGGGCTCCGCCTCGAAGTGCAGGAGTAGGAACGGGGTGGTTTTTGGTCAGTAAGAGTCTGACACTCCCTCTCGCCTCACCCGGAGGGGGAAAAATAATTTTCACCCATCAAAAAAAGGATGCAATAACACTAAACAAAGATAGTAAAAAAAATTATAAATTAGGTCTATTGACCTATGGTGTACGATACATACTTATCAAACAAATATGCTGATTTTGATTGACAAATACTATACACCATAACTTGACAGGATTGGAGGCTGTTAGAGGTCACTCTCATGATTAAATAATATAAATAAAAAATGAGCTTTCACATAAATACAATTAAAGATGGGTCAATCAACTTATAAAGTATAATTATAAAAATTTATAACAAACATCTTTGTTAACACCCAGCTCCCCGTCTACGACGCCATCAGAGAGGCTGAGAAGCAGACTCCTAGGTAAGTACAAACTTGTACAGAGCCGGCCGTCCAAGACATCTGTCGAACTTGTGCACAATGTCACCGACTGTACTTCATTAGGATATATCGCAGACTTAGTTTAATAACTCACTTACGAGAGGTACCGTCGAATTAATTTGAATTCCGTGTTCGTTTCTGCGGAAAATGTTCAGGAATTTTGGTTTGTAGGATTGTTAGGTATACATTATAATATTATGTACCTATATATCAGTGCCTACCGAATTGAGGTAACTTATGTATCGGTTTTATGAGTAAAATAGTGTAGAAGCTACGTAACTATAATATTACCTCAGCTCTAACACTAATTTTATATTAATAAAAATCTCCCAGTAATTAGAACGTCGGGGCACGTGAGGGAACGATCCTCCTCTGCTCTAGCCGTCGCGGGAGATACTCCGGGCGTCGAGGATTGTGAGATGATCTCCGACCACTGCAAGCACGGGCCTAAGGACGGCGACCAAGGGTTGCTCGCGAGCGTACGGCGCCTCAAAATGCCTTTAGACCACCACAAATGGGATCCAATAGACCTGATGCCCGATTCGGAGTTGCGGAGGACTTAACGAGTTACCGGGGCTCCGACTTGAAGAGCAGGAGTAGGAACGGGGTGGTTTTTAGAGAGCACTTAGAATGTACAACAAACAAAAGGTATGTACGAGCTACGCTGTACAGTGTATATGTTACCTAATCAACCCACTTTCAACAAAACGTTGCAGTTTAGTTAAGGCAATAATTATTACATTTTAACAGATTATGTTTAGTAGCTATTAATCCTTTATACCGATCGGTTATCTACTCATTCAACATAACATTCAACATCTCCATAACATTAAGTAAAATCGCGGGTTACTCACGTGAATATACTGAGAAAAGCTCTACTAGCTTCGAACCACAGGGGTGTTCTTCCTCATAAGCAGCGTGCGCGGTCGCGGCTCATGACGAAGAAGCCCTCAGTATATTCACGTGAGTAACCCGCGATTTTACTTAATTTAGTATGTCTCACGATAGTTACTATAAAAACATCTCCATAACAGTTTTACTGTTGGAAGTTAAGTCCCAACAAGGTACCTACATTGTCTTGTTTATATTCTTAGTACCAGTCGGAGATAGTATTCTCAGAAGGCAATATACATATATATGTAACTATATTATACCTACGATTGGTTGTCACCCCTAGATCTTAATAGTCAAACGTCTATCGAAGTGGCCTCCTAACTAATTTTGAAACACTACGTCTCACACACCTGCATGAGAACTAGTTGTAAGGCTGTGTTTATATTGGTTGGCTGTTAGTTATCGACATTCATTGAGACTTTGCGACTTGCGATAATATTTTTTTTTACCGTCACCTATATCTTACGTCTGCTGCGATCTGTTTATGTTTTAGTCTTAGAGATCTCTGGTTTGATTTGGATCAGATAAAGTAAATATTATTTGCGGTTTTCCGCTTTTTACAAAATATCTAAGTAACAGTCTCATACACAACCTCAACACTATCGATATGATAACCTCACTTTGATACAATCCGCAATTCAGACTGTCCAAAGTACAGAAATCCTTTATGGGGTTAGGTATTAAATACTATAATAAAATACCAAATAGCATACTAGATCTCAATGAAGGTAAATTTAAAACATATATTAGGCGCGAATTATGTAATCAAGCTTGACAGATTATCACATCACACTGACAGATTATTTTGAAGATAAGAATGCTTGGCAGCATGTTGGTTCGGCTCCACTGGACAATACTCAAATGTAGTCAGTAGCTAAATTCCAATAGTAGGTAATTTAATAAATATTTTAACACTTTAATTCTAATGTAGACAATCTAGTTTCCTTATGGCATCGAGCATTTCTTTATTGAAACAAAGAGTTTACTTTTCTTGTATAGAAGCACTAATTCTATGGATTGTCAGTATGCATATGTGAGCACCGTGTTGGACTTTAAGATTTTTATGATTTTTTAATTTTAGTAAGTTATTAGTATAATGCGTCAAGCATGTCTTTGCATTGTTCTTACATATGCGTACAGTATTGAAATATGTATCAGAGACATTGTAGAACATACTTTTTTAAAAAGAGTAACGAATGGAGTTTCTTGCTCGTTCTTCTCCATTCGAATCTACTTTTTGGAATGAACACCTAGCTTCACCTAGTTTCACTGAGGGACTGACTGACAGACTATTATTTATTTTGTATTTGTTGACGTTTCAAAAGTACCAAACTATGGTTTAATTGAAATAAGTGCTTTGACTTTGACTTTGACACATGACCTCCCTTTTTTATGGGATAAGCCGGTAAACGAGCAGTCAGATCACCTGATGGTAAGAAATCGGCGTCGCTCATGGACACCTGGAACACCAGAGGCGTTACAAGTGCGTTACCGGCCTTTTAGGATTAGGAATTTGAGGTTTGAATTCAGGAATTCCGGTAACCTCACTCACACAAGCAAGCGTTGTTTCACGTCGGTCTTCTGTGAGACCGTGGTATCACTACGGTCGAGCCGGCCCATTCATACCGAAGCATGGCTCTCTCACAAACTCTTTTTAAACCAAATTCGTTACAAGACTACTGAAAAGTGTATATTAAGGTGTACTGTACACGTAATATTGCGTTACGTGTACCTTTTTTCCGATCCATTCCGTTATTGGAGAATAATTAAAAGGTGTGACGTTATTATATGTATGCTATATTTATTTGTTGTAGCAAATTAGATAGTAAATAATAATATAGAACATTTTCTGATCCACAATTTAAAATAACCTACAATACACTTCACAATCGCATCAAACAACAAAACAGTTTAGACACGCCCTCACATCCTGTGCAAGTACTCACTGCTCACGTAGAACCTACGTTCATAAACTTTACCCTATATATATAGTGTTAAAATACACCTCAGGGAGATAGTCTGGTCCAAGTTATAGCCAACAAATTGATCGGGCCAACGTGTCTGCACGTCAATTTTGGGAGAATAAAGCATTTCCCCCTCTAGTTTGACGTTTCTACTGATAGGTAATGGATTTTCTAGGTATGAGCTTCGGTCGATTTTGTTTCGTGAGCTTGAATTTTCATATTGTTACACTGTGATTTTGTTTGGTGAAGACATTCTTGCTTTATAGATTACAGATAGATTGAGTTTGATGCTCGTTCTCTTGTTGGATGTATTTTGAGTTTTAAATATAGAAATTGACATTGCCATGACACATAGTTTAAATTTAAAGTCGTTCTTTGTCAGTTGTGTTCGTCATTGACTAGACGCATCGTCTACTACATAATTTTTTTAAATTTATTTAACGTATTTACAATAAGTACAGGATTGTCAATTTAAAATAACAACCAAAATCCACTAAGGTTTAAACTTGTATATGGTGACCTGCATTTTATTACAGGCAGTAAAACTACAGAAGAAGAGTACCAATATGCAAAATTGAATAGATAGGTATTAAGCCATATATATATTTTACATTTCCACAGAAAATTTCATATCCAAACACCAGCTACAAACCAGTTACTCTGCGAGTTCAAATAGAACCTAGTACAGCTTCCAATTGGCAAGTTAATTAACCATTTACACTATCGACAAGCGAAGCGAGCCTGTTCAATTACAACGAATGGCTTGCAAGACTGTGAATGAGCATTTAATTGAAAAAAACTAATTTCTACGAGTAACTTTGTCCCGAGAGTGTTATTGAATGAAAACCCTTGTTACCAATGAGTTATTCGGTAGTTACAATCTCTTTTCGTTCTTCTTTGATTTTTTGTTGGTTTAGAATATTATACTGTTAGATTTTATTGTGGACTGAGTGAGTGAGAGTGTATAGCTGGCCGACTCCGGGTCTCTGGTTCGATTCCCGTGTCGCGCAAAGTATTACTGGTTTTTTTTATTCTCAGTAATAGCACGGAGTCTAGAAATGTGTCCGGTATATGGTAATAGGCTCACCCTTATTACATGGGACTCATAACATAAATAGTGAAAAGTGGTCGTTACATTGTACAGTGGTATTCAGTGCCGTAATGTGCACCTCTGCCCTCTGGGATAAAAGGCGTGATGGTAGGCTATGTTTATTTATAAGTTAAAAATAAAAATAGAGGCGATGAAGAGTCGAATTCCTATATATTTTGTCATCACTTCTAGTCATGGGTATTGGATGAGCTGATTATGGGAATTTAGACAGAGATAATGGAGTAACGCTACGTGACCAACTAGAACCATAATGTTAGTAACAATACATGTAGTATGTAGTACTACTTTTCTACTGAACCAAGTCTCAGTACCACGAAATCCTTCCTACGTCTAAAAATTCCACCCACATACCTTTGTAAATACAACTTACTATCATCCCACCCACGGGAAGTAAGATATCGAGCGAGATAATTCATCCAATTTCTCTCCCTAGCACCCAGCCAGAGCGAGATCGCAATTTTTCCAATTTTCACCAAACAAGACGAACGACAAAGTAAAATGAATTCCACAGTAACCTTTGGAAGTGAGAATGATAAAATTGGAAAATATGTACGCAAACCTCCAACAATTCCATTTTGCTTTACAATACAACTTTGCATCGGGTTCGTCTTGACGTGGCTCACTGTTACACCGGAGCGAACTTTGGCCGAGAGCTCGTACTGTGGTACAAAGTGTTATAATTTATCAGATGTAGATTATTGTACCAATGAAATTGAATTTTTTAAAAAGAATCTTACTACTACACTCTTGTTAAACAAATGCTATTACTCTGTGTCTAATTAATTAGCTGATAAATTGTAACTGTATCAGAATATGTCTGATGATGAACCGGTATCAATGTTTGCATGCCAAAAATGGTACAATGTACAAGGACATCTTATTAGTGTTTTAATATCACCTTATTGTAAATACCTGCATTCTGAGCAAACAAATAATTATTATATTCTATTCAATTGGTTTTATCTAAATTATTTATGAAATTCTTAAAGCAATTTAATCACTATTATTGCAATTATTCCATATTAGAAATGGTATAAAATAACATATTGATTTTCATTATTGCGTTGATATAAAAAAGAAAAAATACTTAGTACACTTAAACTTAATGTCAGAATAATTGCCATGGACTAACTGATAGAATGCGGTGTAACAAACAGCCATAGCATATTCTAGACATCTTTGAATGTTCCCTAGTAAGGCGTACAGCTGGCTGACGAGAAAAAAAGAAAAAACAAACATGGCTACTATTCTTCCCGCCATTGCAGTGTTTTTCAAATAGATGTAAAGATGGTTATCACATCTTAGTATTGTGAAGTTTTCATTGTGAACTTTTAACTTAGTGGTGAATATTATACAATACTTTTTTGCACTCAATCATAATTGGGGATTTTCCTTAATCAAAAATAAATTATTTAGACTGTTCGAAACAATAAAATATAAAAAAATTATCACACTCACACACACACACATGATTGATTTTATGACCGACATAAGTTTAGTATTTTTCCATAAAAATAAAAAAATAAAAAAATATGTATGTTGTTTGACGCTTAAAAAACGTGACGTCACAATACACAATCTCGTACAAAATTCATAGAAAAATGTCGTTTTTGACAGTTTAAAAAAATATTGAATATGTCTAGTTGGCAAGTACCCAATTAGCTATTATGTTTTATATGAGCCACATACAATAAGAGGTGACCCTAATTCTATAAAACACAATTCATTTGATATGAAAGGTCATTTGGGATCTTATGTTCAACAATGGTCGTTTTGTGGTACCTAAATAAGGCGATAACGATGATGAATTCCACAGACTGTGCATCTAATGAATTATATGAAAAATAATAAATAACAAATGATAATTTAAATACCTTTCAAATTTTTGTCTACGTAATAATCATACATACTTAATACTAATCAAATAACTACTTAGATAGTATTTTTCTATTTTATCACAAAGTAACTTTGACTGCATGGTTGGCGCGGTGGTTGGGCAACTGGCTGCAGCGCAACGTGTCGCGGGTTCGATTCCCGCACGGAACAACTCTTTGTGTGATCCACAAATTGTTGTTCCAGGTCTGGGTGTCATCTGTATGTGAACTTGTATGTTTGTAAACGCACCACGACACAGGAGAGAATCCTAGTGTGGGGCAACGATTAAAAAAAAAAGAAAAATAAACTCTACCTCGTATAGAAAAAAATATCAAAAATAAGTACTTATTCTCAAAACACAATCGATACCAATATTCAGAGACCTTTTTACGATGATTGTAGCAATACCAAAGAATATCAAAATGATGAAATACATCACTTTATCCGGACAAAGGCAGACGAATATATCGAAATAGACTTCTATCGTAATATGAAACTTGTCGAAATTATTATGTGGTACCCTTCTCATCTGCTCACACCCCGTGGTGAAGGGGGAATGATACTTTATTGTCGGTTACAGAGAGGGTCCTGAAGGGATTGTTGTGACTCGCGTCTGCAATATTGTTGACTATATCGAAAGGTACTCTGATCAATAAAATATCAACTTGTTCCAGACTGTGAAAAATAACTTGAGATAATTTTCGTGAGATGGTGTTTTGTTTTTATTTGATAAATGGCGGAGTTGTCAAGTATTATTCCTAACTACAATTTACTTTCATATATTTATTTAACATTCTGTATAAATTACATTTTTAAATACTAATTGCACAATAAAAAATAATATGTAAAAATATAAAAAATAGGAGCCGACCAGTAGCGGGAGCTTGGTCCAAGCTACCGGTGGTTAGGGCTCCAGAGACAGAAACGTCCTCACGATACGTGCCGTTTCTAGGAGAACTGCTTTCTGTATCAGGCCCTTGATCCATCCACCTAACGCAAGCCTCCTGAGATGGATGTCGAGGCTTTTAGGGATTAACCCATTGGCCGACACGACTATCGGCACAATGATAGCCGAATCCACATTCCACATGTCGACAACCTCGTGAGTTAAGTCTAGATATTTTATTTGTTTATCTTTCTCAGCTTTCACGAGGTTCTCGTCACGGGGTATGGTGACATCGATTATCATCGTACGGCGTACTTGCCGGTCTATCACCCAGTCCCACGTCCAGTTTATTATTAAGATAGTCACCATGTCCAGTTTATTATTAAGATATTGAAAAAGTCTTATCGTTTAAATAATCACCACCCTCAGCGGTCATGCGATTAGTATTTTAACTAAGCAGAAAATATTATGAATATATTCATAACATCTATATATATAAAAATGAAACCCCTTTTCCCGTTGTCACGCCACAAATTGAGAACGGCTTGACCGATTTGGCTGATTTTTTTTGTTGTGTTATGTTATTGTCATCAGAACGTTTTTATGACAGAAAAAAATCCTGAAAATCGTACGGCAACAGGAGAAAACGGGATTGCGCGTACGAAGTCACGTTCAGAAGTTAGTATATTCATAATGTTTATGCCATTAATTTTCTTGAGTCTCTTGAATTTAATCATAAATCACACGCAAAACAATTAGTAATAAAATATATTACTAATTCAAATTTCTTCCAGAATATCTTCTATCCAATTATTCTTCGGTAATTTTTACCAAGATCTTTTTAAACTATGCAGACAACGTAAGATCATGGACAGTAACAGTCCCTGTGGAGAGTCTATATAATTGAAGGCATACATAATTTACTGACTTTCCGACTTGGTTGAGCAGCTAATTATATTAAAGCAAACTCCGCGACTTGGGACACCGCCAGTGCGACATACAGACTGTAGCTTTGTTTAGCTGATTACAAAAAAAATCGGACTGAGAATAGGTACTGTGAGTTCGTTATCATACACTTTTTGTGCTTGTCTTTTGTGTCAAGAGTAACCGTATCATTGTTGAATTTTTAATAGGGCGACTGCTAATTATATCGCCATATTGTAGTATCTATTAACCGTGAACACTTCATAATTATTTTGTGTACAAACTTGCCATACCACTTTTAATAGGTTAGTTTCCTAAATTTTATTTTAATGTCTGTCTGGTACATTAATTTAAAACTTTAGACATGTATTTTCTCTTTTCTCACAAAATCAAATACTTTCAACGGTATATTAATTTGAAATATCGTGTGACGTCACAGAGTGCCACATTTTGTAGCACGTTATGACGTTATAACCTCCCACTTCTAATCTTAGCACCATTTTATTTAAGTATTGTAACTTAATATGAGAAGATAAAAAATACGTATCTAATATTTTTCAGTATCTAACTGATAACTAATTCGATATTTAATTTTGATACCCTGGAAACTACCAAAATTATAAACGAATCTTTGTATTCTAACAATCTGTACAACCAACTTGATATTCCAGTACAATTCCTCATTACAATAACATGCAAAAAGATCCGAAAACCACACACCACCTTTCAATTAAAGTGTACTAAACTGCCTCAAAAAAGAACGCGACCACATTTCTTTTTGAAAAGCCCTTCAGCTTCGAATCTAGGGTAACGAACAAAAGGCATCTTTCTTCTTACAAAGCTTCTCATCTGGCCTGGCTGTGTGTTTCTCAGATGTCCTGCGTTCATTTCCAAGGGATCCACATTACTCCACGAATATTCGCTGCTTGACGTTACGTCTGAAATATAAAAGAGGCATTCTCTTGAGCGCTGCAAGCTGTGTTGATGTAGGAGGCCGTTTGAGGTGTGTCTGCCTAAGGGTTTTCTGATTATGGTAAAAATTTGATCACAGTTATTAATTTAACTAGCGCGTATTATTGGTAATAATCTTCAATTTGTCATTTATGAGAATCATGAAGACTTTTGTTTAGCATTGCCGTGTAAAACATTGTTTTTTTTTAAAAAGAAATACGTAAACTGTTGATTTAATTTAATATTACTGTATAAACTAGTTATTAAACTAAGAAAATGAATTAAACCGGGTTAATATGAATCAAAACAAAGCGAAATGAATCTCAAAACCGACAAATATAAAGTCACATTCTTCCAAATCGAACACTACGTAACATCTAACAGCATTAATTCCAAGCCACGCAAATTATAAAGGAAGCCCCAATGGGAACGACGTCGTTGCTACAATATTTGCGCTCGTTAAAAATGCCAGAATATTCTATAGAACGTTGCTTTTAAGCATTTTCTGAAGCATTGTTTAGATAGATGAGGGAAAATGGATGCTTAAGAGCGTTCAAGCGTTTTGCTTTATTTATTATCTGCTAGTTTTTTGTTCGCTTGCGGATTTGTGGTATGTAGTTGGAATATTCTAGTGAAGATTCTGGATAGACTTTTATCGTTACATGATGTGGTTACATGTGTGTTACTTTCATATAAGATTAAGTCTTTTTTCCCTAGATTTATTGGACATTCCGCTGTAATAGTTGGTTTTATTAACTTATTGTAATTTGTTGATAGACACTTAAGATCCCATGCTCTCTTTGATGTGCAGAGAAAAATAAAGGAGGCACGATCCTATTTTGGTCAACCCATAGATCACCAACCTTTTTGCTGTGCAGTTGTATCCTCGTTTTTAACTCCTCTAACTAAAATAAAAGATAACATTTTTGAACACTTTATAAATATTAAACTATTGTACATACCTACAATATGTTTATATTAAAACTTTCGTGAGATGTACTAAATTATTTATTATGTTTCCGGCTTACTCACGTAACTTTTTGACAAGGATGCAGTGGCAGTGCGACAATCGCCACGTCGCAGGTCGCGGAATACTGCTCATGAATATGAGCCTCTAGCATAGCTGGAAACTAGTCGAGTTCCTCGTCAAACAGTTACGTGAGTAAGCCGAAAACATAATAATTCACATAAAATATTATTTACATTACCCATTAATGTTAACAAGTTTAGTTTATATTAAAAGTTTTGCTTTGAAAATCATAACGATAGAAAATGAGACAAATTAAACGAGCTACCTACGCAGATGATTCCGGGAAGTCTTCTAATTAAAAGTACTTGTAAGTAGGCAAAGTTAATTAAAATTTTCTTTCTTTTAAACATGAAAGTAGAATAATGTACACTGAATAGGAATGATGTTGTTGCAAAGTTATACATATATCATTATATTATAATCATTATGTATTTCAAATCAAATCAAATCAAATCATTTATTTGCATAAAATGTAGGTGTTTACAAATTGGTTGTTACAGATATAATATAGTGGCTGTATATACATTTTGCCCGTTTATTTGACGTTTTAGTTCATTATCATATTTAATTTTATTAAAATTGAATTATTTTACATATTTGACTTTGGTATTGGAAATCTCCACCCTTGAATCAAAACCAGGATGTTTTTTACATCCAAGAGGAATTATAATTTTTTTTTACGAAATGAGCCGGTAAACGGTCAGACGGATCACCTTATGGTAAGCAATCAGCGTCGCCCATGGATATCCGAAACACCAGAGGCGTTACAAGTGCGTTACCGGCCTTTTGTGAATTAGGAGTTTGAGGATTGTAGGGGATTCGGGGATTGGGGAGACTGGGGAATCGGGTAATTGGGCCTCCGGTAACCTCACTCACACGACGAAACACAACGCAAGCGTTGTTTCACGTCTCTTTTCAATGACTTATCTATTGTTAGGCGTTCTATATCTTTAACTACATCATCTATGTGATTTCGTGGTCAAACACTATGCCATTTGCCAAAAATAAAATATCCCGACTTCACACACATACAACACACGCATTAGCAACGTCTAGCCAGTTACGTAAACAACAATATCCCACCAAAGTTACTCGACACTCTAATAATCTGTAACTACTTCTCGCGAGTATCATAATGAGGAGCCAAGAAAATGAGTGTAGCTCGGAGACATGCACAAATGGATGAATAAAAACTTGGTAACGAGTGGCTACGATCCTTTGCGGTAGAAGGAGACCGTGCATTGTGTTTCGAGTAGTATGTGGGCGGTGGATCAAGGTGAAGGAGGTAGCGGGTTGGACCCGTATCTAACGTAATAATATGTACCTTTATAAAAAGTAAGGTTGTGTTAGCTTTTTGAGGTAAGAGCCAGGAAATAGGTTGCCATGTTTATTCAGTAATAGTGTTCATTGCATTTAATGACCAGAAACGGACTTCGTAATGTAACTAAGGAAATCGAAAATTAACTTTGCCTTGGGACAACAAAGAATAACTAAGAAATTGACTTGGGTGTTAATAACAACATGTCAAATGATTACAATCATTAATAATGATGCATATTTTTTATTATTTGTTTTAATTGACCCTCTCTAGGATTTTCTCCTGTGTCGTGGGTGCGTTTACAAACACCCAAGTTCACACACACATGACACCCAGACCCGGAACAACAATTTGTGGATCACACAAAAAGTTGCTCCGTGCGGGAATCGAACCCGCAACACGTTGCGCGGCAGCCGGTTGCCCAACCACTGCACCAACCGTGTTGTCGTCGTTAATATAATAGTTTTGATTAATTAGGTATTTAAGAGTGTTTTAGTTAAACTGAAGCACTGACAGTGTTATTTCTAATCAACATACGACATACAATCGAATCGTATTGTTTAACAAAATTAATACAATACATGTTCTAATACAATACATGTTGTTTGCATTTTGAATTTTGAATATGAATATTGAATTATCTAGGGTTACTGTTCCGTGTATTGGTATAATTTAAATTAAATTTTCATGCAACTTGAAATGTAGTATTTAGTGCGGCATTGGCAACAGTTTTAGTAATGCAAATGTTAGAATTATTAATTTTGTGCAGCTAACCAAATATTAGGCGATTTGAATAATAAATATATTACGTTTTATTACGTACATATATGTTTTATAAACATTTATTGTTGTATTACGTTACGTTGTATTACGTTTTATAACTTAAAAAAATATAGTACATATAACATAACATAACATCACGCCTTTTTTATCCCCGAAGGGGTAGGCAGAGGTGCACATTATACCACTGTACAATGTAACACCCACTTTTCACTATTTATGTTATGAGTCCCATGTAATAGGGGGTGAGCCTATTGCCATATACCGGGCACAATTCCAGACTCCGTGCTACTACTGAGAATATTTAAAACCCAGTAATACTTTGCCCGACCCGGGAATCGAACCCGAGACCCCTTGTCCGGCAGTCGCACTTACGACCACTCGGCCAACGAGGCAGTATAGTACATATCTTTAAGTTAAAAATATATCTAAGAATCCAGTAGTATGGTTATGTCTGAGGTTGAGCCTGTTGTAATAAATTATCACATTCTGTATTTTATCTCTTAACAAAAATATAAAACAAATTATCACAAAAAATAACGCATAATGTTTCCTGGATCAAAAAGATGTAAATTTTGTCATGTTTTACAGATACCGAAACTACTCTATGTACAAAATTAAATATATCCTTGCTTTACGCAAAATGTAAGGTAAATCTCAAATCTTCTTCAACTTGGACCACACACGAGTATAGGACGTAGGTACTAGTTGAAACGTCTTTGACTCGCGGCAGCATTGGAGTCTAACCATGCAAATTATGAGCCAGGTACACATTGACGGCTCGCGCTTTGCCTGTGGTTTGTGTGTTTGTTATACACGGTCGTGTATTCTGGCTTAAGTTGGTTAACACGGCTAGAGCAGGGTTATTTACAATAGAAGAGGTATGTGTGTGTTTATTACTCGTGTACAGGTTTAAGATGGCCGCGTCTTGTGGGGTGTGTGTTGTTTTAGTAAAGGATTAATGATAATGATAAGGGTGTTTAATTTCTTATTGGTATTAGTATATTATTATTGTGTATGTGCAATGGAAATTATCTATGTATATAGTATGACAAGAGCACGGATCAATAGTCCGTGGAGAATTAATCTGTAACATTATTGTGTTGATATAAAGTCGAAAATCCAAGGTTATATATTGATGTAGCTTGATCTGCTGGTCACTATACTCAGCAATGAGATGAACGAAGCGGTTTATTCAATAAACTTAATGCATTTTTGTTCATTAAATATTCTCTCTCACACTCCCCCTATCTCAGAGATTTAAAGTCCAATTTTAAATTAATATAACTTTAATTAATATTTCTGAAAGCAAAACATTTCAATGTTCTGCCATGTTTTAGTAAAAGTTTAAGTAAATTTTATGTTAATTACAAAAATATTTTAATTTTTAAAGACCATATAATTCGTAATCACACTTGTTAACGTCCGAATGATATATTTTTTCACATATTTCACATATATACTGTGATGATTGCAAGATTGGCACGGTGGCTGGGCAACCGGGTACCGCGCAACGCGTAGCGGTGTCGATTCCCGCACAGTGCTATTCTTTGTGTGATCCACAAATTGTTTTTTCGGGTCTAGGTATTATGTGTATATGAACTTGTATGGTTGTAAATGCACCCACGACGCAGGAGAAAATTCTAATGTGGGGCAAGGTTAAAAAAAAAATGAACCACGTGAAAAGTGTTTTATGTTTAAATGGTTATTGTGTTCGTTTGAGTCGATGTTTAAGAATAAAGGCGATCCTTTTATTCAATTTTTTATAGAACAGGAGGCAAACGAACAGATGTATCACCTGCTGGTAAGCGATCAGCACCATCACAGGTGCGTTGTCGGCCTTTTAAAAAGGAATACTCTCTAGTTCTAGTTTCCTCTTAATATGACTTTATACAACACAAAATGCTTTATTATATTCACACACACATTATTTACCAAACCCTTCATGTTACTAAGAAATAACACCAACTGTAATTATAATATAAAATATTTGCAATTCACTAAATTATAATCAATTCTACGAAATATTGAGTTGTTGAACAAAAGCTCACGTTAATACGAGTACATTTCGTTGAAACAAGACGATAAGTTTGCCTCGTCAAATCGTATAATTAAACTAAATTAATTAGAGCAGTGAATGTGTTAGCAAACAATTAAACCACGGTTTAATCTTAGCTGATGGGTTAAGTATTGTTAGGAGGCAACCACATTGAACGTTAAAGTTTTCATTATTTTGTGTATGAAATTTTATAAAGTGCAACACACCGTAATGTTTTTCAATCTGTCTGTCAGATAATAAATGAAATATTATAGTGGATTATTTTTGTTTATTACGTAAACCTAAAGAATTGTAGCGGAGAACCTAACGGGTTACCGGGGCTCCGGCTCGACGTGCAGGAGAAGGAACGGGGTGGTTTTTAGTCAGTAAGAATCTGACACTCCCTCCCGCCTCACCCAGACGGAAGCAGCCATTCGATGATTTTCCCCCCTTAAAAAACCTAAAGATGTCATTACGATTGTGACTTTTTATGAAAAAAAATTGTATTTTTGCAGTCAAGCGTTTTTGTTATGTTTTGTGAGTGTACGTATATAAATGTGGAACAAGTGTACTTAATTCTTTGCAAGTGGACAAGGGAGTAGGCAGAGCTACGTTGCTGCTGTATAAGCCGTTATATTTTTTAGACAACAATATTGTAAACCAGGGATATTAGGGAGCTCCGTAACTGTAACCGAAACTATCGGATATCCGATATAAAAAAATATCTGTAACCATAACCGAGTCCGAAATAAAAGTTTCGGATACTATCGGATAAACGGAACGTACAAATGAAACTATTATATTAGCTATTTGTATTTTACTTTTGAAATTCCTTAAAATTTTAATATCCGTAACCGAAATTATCCGAAACTAACATCATCATCATCACCATCATCACCAGCCTATTAATGCCCACTGCTGAGCAAAGCCTCTTTTCACACAGAGAATGTTTGAGCATTTATCACCACGCTTGCTCAATGCGGGTTGGCGATTACAAACTTATAATAATTAGAAATTATAAGCCCAGGTTTCCTCACGATGTTTTCCTTCAGCGTTTGTCAGTGGTGTCTGAATAATTTTAGAAAGTACATATAACTCGGAAAAAGTCACATTGGTACTTGCCGTTGGTCCGAAACCAACGGATACTCCGAAATCATTTGAAATCCGTATCAGTAACCGTATCCAGTATAACAGTCATTTCTATATCCGTATCAAATCCGTATCCGAAATATCATATCCATAACATCCCTGTTGTAAACTAATACATTACCGTTTACCTCAATTTACACATTATGGAAAATATGTAGTCAAATATTAAACTACACAGAGCTGCTTCGAGCATATCTAAGTGCCTGCTATTGAGCAATATTTTGGCGAATGCTGCACGCCTAATGAGAGAATATTGAGGGTTAATTTTCACTGTATAATGAGTCCTATGAGTAGGTACACTTACTGCGTTGTGCATCTGTCTCTCGCTTGTTCAATTGCAACTGTGTGTGTTGAGAAAATTAATTTTAAGTTTTTTAATAGTGTATGATAGTAAACTATTATTCCAGAATCTGTATTTACTGAAGGGTATCTTCTTTCTACTGGGTATCTTCAAGGTTCTAGTGAATAGGTAGCTTATGAGACGACGTGTTCCATCGTAGATCGCATCATCGCTTACCACAAGGCGAGATAGTGGTCGAACGTCGGCCCATCAAATGTATAAAAAAAGTAAAACTCGTTAACACCAGTTTTATCGCAGGTGACGTAATTTAAGGAACTGCATTAATATGTGTTTTAGTAGAATCCGGCCACTGGGCAGTGTTCCTAGTCTGTTAAACCTATAAACAATAATTTACAAAACTGTGTTTGTATGGAATAGACGTTCCATTTTTGAAATTCATTCAAAAGAAGTTTAGTTTTTAATGTTTTTTTTTAGTTGCCAACTTTTATTTTAATATTGTTCTGTTATACCTTAAACCATTATACTACGATCTCCAACCCACCTGCCAATGTAAGGAGGTCCGAAGTCTAGCAGTGGACTGTCAGATGGGGCCTAATAGGGCTGATACCGATATGGAGCCACGAAGGATTTAACGGGTTGCCGAGCTCCGGTTCGAAGTGCAGGAGTAGGAACGGGGTGGTTTTTAGTCAGTAAGAGTCTGATACTCCCTCTCGCCTCACCCAGGTGGGAGAAGTAACTGAATGATTTCCCTCCACAAAAAAGCAGCTTATCTTGAGCTGCTGATGATATAGACAGTCAATAATTGCTCACAGGCATTGAAATTAAACATTTTTAAGTGACTAAAGCATGCAACTTATTTCACCTATACACATTTTAGTGCATTTGAGCCCCGAAAGTGTATTTAAAGCGTCAAACACACCCACGACACAGGAGAAAATCCCAGTGTGGGGCAAAGTTTTAAAAAAAAAAAAAAAAAATAACTTACTGGGACTGCTTCTATGTTAGACAGATATTGTAATTCTTAAGATAATAAATAATTTGAATTAGAAAAAAAAAACATCTTTAAATATTAGGTACAGCGACGGCACATTGCTTTTTATGAGTGAGTATTAAGTTTTAAAATCAAAGTGTTTTAAAAATGAAATATAGCTATCGACTTCTGTGTGCACCTCTGCCTACCCCTTCGGGGGTAAAAGTCGTGATGTTATGTGTTATAACTATCGACACTGTTTCGTAAAATGTTTGAAATCAAAAACATTTAAAAAAAGCTTGGATTTCTTGGAATGAATCTAGACTCAACAATGCATAACTCAATGCTTATTAGACCTTCTTTTTTTTAAGGAGGGAAAATCATCGAATGACTGCTCCCACCTGGGTGAGGCGGGAGGGAGTGTCAGACTCTTACTGACTAAAAACCACCCTGTTCCTTCTCCTGCACGTCGAGCCGGAGCCCCGGTTACCCGTTAGGTTCTCCGCGACTTATTAGAGCTTTAGGACATCAACCTTCTAAAAAGAGCTGGTTCAGATGTAAACTATTTCACTGAAAATAACATAACATCACGCGTTTTATCCCCGAAGGGGTAGGTAGAGGTGCACATTATACCACTGTACAATGTAACGTCCGCTTTTCACTATTTATATTAAGTTTCATGTAATAGGGGGTGAGCCTATTGCCATATACCGGGCACAATTCCAGACTCCGTGGTCCGTACTAAGAATATTTAAAAACCCAGTAATACTTTGCCCGACCCGGGAATCGAACCCGAGACTCCTTGCCCGGCAGTCGCACTTACGACCACTCGGCCAACGAGGCAGTAAACTATTTCATTTCAGTACTTTTTATTCAGTCCCCACCATATGCAAACTGCAGAATTTCAACACAATTTCCGCGCATGTCTAAGTATCGCTACTGGATTAACATTCCTAAACCTCAATGAAACGCCTAGGTCTCAATGACTCGCCTCATTCTGAATGGCATGCCTCGCCTCGCCTCACTAATTGCGACCTCAAAAACAAACAAACAAAAATACGTCTACATTTGTTTCGCCTAGTTTTCTTTTAGTGGCTTCTCTGATTAGACAAAGAGCCACATTTTCATAGAATATTCATGAGTGCGTATCATTTTAGCATTAAGCAAGCTTTCCTTGCTATTGTTAAGGTATATTTTGTTTTTTTTGTGCTAGCTTTAGCTGGGACTTTGTTCGTCATCATGAAAACCCACCAGTTTGGGCCTCCGGTAACCTCACTCACACGATGAAACACAAAGCAAGCGTTGCTTCACGTCGGTTTTCTGTGAGGCCGTGGTATCTACTCCGGTCGAGCCGGCCCATTCGTGCCGAAGCATCGCTCTCCCACACTTAAAATTTGAAAAGTGTGGATAGGTTTTAGATTCTCAAAATTTTTGGAGGAGAGAATGACTGGTTTTTAGAGGCCTCTTAAAACCACCAATAAATTTGGCATGGGTGTCGCTGTTCACTAACCTTCAGGTGATCTGGTCTATCTCGTCGTTAGCCTCTTATCCCATAATATTACTGATCGTAAGGAAAAACTGTACAAAGTCTGATACATGCATATTATTAGAAATAATTTTTACTCTTCTGAAATCGAATTAAGAAAATGTGATAAAGATATTTCAATTGCAATCACGCTTAATGATCCAAAAAAATAAGACAGTCACTGTTTTTTGTATGTATTTACTTGTACATAGAATAATATTTTTGTGTTTGTAGAATTTGTTTACTTAAGGGTTCCCTCATAATGAACCTTCTTTTGTCGTCATAAAAGTGATTATTTATAATAAAAGCATTCCGTGATTTTATGTGGATCTTTTCCTTATTTTTTGTAGCAAATAATTTTTGCTTGAAAACGGAACAGTCACTGAAAGAAAATACTAATACATTTTAAACACGACGAACAATTGAGATTTGTTTTAAACTAAATGATTTGCAATTGACCCGCATGAAGCAAGTGTGGGAATTAATGCTCAATCGTTGTCCGCGCAAGAAGGGGCTTTGATCAGCAGTGGTCACTTGCAAATCGTTGGTGATGATGATGGTGATGATTTACGGTTGAAACTTAAACAAATCTTGTCAACCTATGTAGGTATTGTTGAAGTTTTATATAAACTTGATCCGTCAAATTCGCATATAATTATCCCTGAATAACACTATTTTAACCCTTTGAGTACCGTCATTATAGACACAATTAAATAACGATAGGTTGCGGTCACCGGTGTCCTCGCGGTGTTTGACAGTTTAGTAGGCATCATGTAAGCATATATCACATCACGTAATTCAAAAAAACAACTTTTTAAAAACAAAGTAAGAATTAATAATAATGAACCCATTCTCATTTCAAATTCACAATCATAAACTTCCTTTGTATTCGTTTCGAACGCGACACTTAGTAATAGAAAAATGAAAATGACTCATAGCTCATACAGATTGGATTCTGTTTTGTACAATTTTCAATGGAAACTAGCACAGAGCTTACAATATTTTTTATTTATGAATAGTAATTTATTTTAAATATGTAAATTGCAAATATTAGCAACATTTTTCTAGTTCATGTTGTTATTTTTTATAAAGGTGAAGGATTTCGGTGTATATCCAATTTATAGTGCTTAAATATCGAGTCGTTGTAAACTTAAAGTACGCTAAAAATTAATAGCCTAAAGCAAAAGATGTTTTTTTAAATGTTGCCCCACGGTAGGATTTTCTCTTGTGTCGACACCCAGACCCGAAACCACAATTTATGGATCACACAAAGAGTTGCTCCAAGCGGGAATCGAATCCGCCACACGTTGCGCGGCAGCCAGTTGCCCAGCCACCACGCAAACCGTGCAATCAAGCCAAGATCTTAATATACAGCAATAATGAATATGTTTTCCACACAAATTGTAGCTTCTACGATTAAAAAACTTTCATATTTTTCTGTCAGTTTCTGAGAAACAAAAGAGGAAGAATAGCGAAAAATAAACAAAGGGTAGATGGGCCAATAGGCAATAAGCTTTTCCGATGCCATCACCTTTCAAATTAAGTTAATACCGATTGCCATAAGACATAGTAGCCAGTTGATTGAAAAAGTTCTTTAGGGATCCCTCTTTGAGGCGTCGGAACGGAATAAGATCTATAGTCGCTTAGTAGCTTATCTCTACTAGTTCCAAGTTTCTTTTGTTCAACACGGATCACTTTTTTCTAGTTTAATTTTGGCTCTAGAACTTTTAGCTTTGTTGATTGTGAAGATTGTAATGAAGGTTTTCGTGGCGCTAGTAATACTTTTATAGACTCGTAGTACGAATTTGAAAGTCCTGATTTTATTTGTTTTCTATTAAATTATTCTTATAAAATATGTAATCATGTCATCGTTAGTTTCTTTGTAAGAAATCTATATTTCTTATGAAATGAAGGCAGCAAAATATATTTCGTTTCCATTGAATAAGCAGAAAACCTATAAATAAAGTAGCTGATTTACTTGTGAAGACATAAGCTTGTTAGCAAGGTTTTATATTGTCTAGTTGCTTCAACGTTCACGGTTGAATATTCAATGTTGTAGTTCGTATAAAATTGGTTACTATCTTAAAATCTTTTACTTAGTGCAACATTTATAAGGTTTTTTAAACACTTACCTATAACACACCTACATTTGTCTTGCATTTTTTTTATTATTTAGATAAATATTACAGATGGTAAGCTAAAACAATATATTACTAAATATTGAGCAACCAAACCACCCTGTTTGTAGTTTCTTTCTGTGAGGTGAAAATCTAGTGACTTCTCCGGCCCGGGTGACTAAAATCACCCCGTTCCTCCTCCTGCACTTCGAGTCGGAGCCCCGGCAACGCATTAAGTCCTCCGCACCTCCGCGGTATCAGCCCTATTGGGCTCCATCTGTGGTGGTCTGAACGCGACGCGCCGTATGCTTGGGTCTGGTCAGGCAACGCGTTACCCGTGCTCGCCACTCGCAGGCCTGTGGTTATGGTAGCCGGAGATCATCTCGTAACTTGTCTCTAGTCTTGAACGTTAATTTTTACCCTATCCATTTACGAATTGTTAAAACATAACATAACATCACGCCTTTTCATCCCCGAAGGGGTAGGCAGAGGTGCACATTATACCACTGTACAATGTAACACCCACTTTTCACTATTTATGTTATGAGTCCCATGTAATAGGGGGTGAGCCTATTGCCATATACCGGGCACAATTCCAGACTCCGTGCTACTACTGAGAATATTTAAAAAACCCAGTAATACTTTGCCCGACCCGGGAATCGAACCCGAGACCCCTTGTCCGGCAGTCGCACTTACGACCACTCGGCCAACGAGGCAGTCTCGTTGAATTGTTAAAACAAACAGTTGTATAGCCCACTAGGCAACTGAACAATTGGGAGGCAACTCGTGATGGTCATATTTCTACATCGATGCACAACATCACGCCACGTGTTTAAGTAATTTTTTAATGTACTGCAACATATTATATCGCAATTCAAAAGTACAATTACTAAGGAGGTACAAATACGAGGCTAAATATTTTGCCTGACCAATCAAACGATACTACAACGTGAACAGAAAAACCAATACGTAGTTCCTTGTTTGTTTAAATTTATTGCGCCCATGTTTTGTTGTTTTCGCAAACACGGAACCTTTAGCTCCATCGATGTTCACGTCTCACTGTTTTTTTTTATTTCCCTCCGTTTTTTAGCTAAAAGCAGGCTTAAGGGACCTCCGAAACAATCAATTAGGGAACTTTGAACATCCTTGAATTGTAAATGTGAGTCGAGACGGTTCCTTTTGTTGGCAACACTTTCTCTTTTGTATCGTTTTAATATAATTGTACCGTTTTGAAATATTTTCTTGTAATTCTTAGTTTGTTTTCGTTTGTTGTTTGGGTACTCTTTTGTGTAGAAAGTAATATATTGTTTTTTTTTTCTTTTTGGGTGTAGATTATAATATGTGTAGTTGTCCTTTTTTCGGTTCGATATTATATTATATGAAAAAGTACGACAGCTCATACTTGGCTTCAAACATTAGAATACCTTAATCAGTTCTCTAATTTATCTCCTTGCTCGATAGTTGCACTCGCGACCACTTAAGTATCAGTTTTTAATGGCACTTTTATATTATAATAAGTATTAATTACTAATAAGTAGTAGTTGGCGTTCCCTAGTCTCTGCTAAGTCTCTGTCATGGGAGACAGGCGTGAAGTTATGTATGTATGTATGTATGTATTAATTATTGCAATTAAATGAATTCCAACCAAAAAGTAAGACTTACTTGTGCCACTCCTCAAGTCCAGCTTCCTAAGAAGTTCACTACAAATAAAAAAAAAAACTTCACCGTGTTCTCAAGAAACACAGTCTTTAGTTATTTCGTATACTTTTTTGTCTTTTAGACAAAGACTCTTTGTTGTCGTTTCGATAGCAAATAGTTTTTGTGTACTCTGCTAGATTTTATGTTCGATGCGTTAAGTTCGATTTAAAGTATAGTTTTAGTTGAACTAGACTGTGTTGACTAGATTTCATTTGAAACTTTGATTGAGATGTATCATAAGTGCATAAAAGAGGGACAATCATATACATAACACTCACTTTTCGTCAGTTGTGTTATAAGCCCCATATAAAAAGATGCAAAACCTAAAAATCGCCTATAATACTTTGCCCGAGTTGGGAGACGAATCTAAGATCCAGTACTCGGCGGTTCAGGCCCGAGCGTACGGCGCGTCGCGTTCCGCGCGCGCCTCAAGGAGCCATCAGACCACCACAGATGGGGCCTAGCAGGGCTGATGCCGATAAGGAGCCGCGGAAGACTTAACGGGTTGCCGGGGCTCCGGCTCGAAGTGCAGGAGTAGGAACGAGGTGGTTTTTAGTCAGTAAGAGTCTGACACTCCCTACCGCCTCATCCGGGCGGGAGAAGTCATTGGATGATTATCCACCCTCAAAAAAAAAAAGTACTCGGTGGTTGAGCTTACTAATGAGGCAAAAAAGCAATAGTAAATTCTTCTTGGCAGAAAAAAGTAATAAACCATTATTAATTACACATTTACATCATAAATGGTGCTTTCTAGCGACAAAACTACTGCCGAAAGTAATTATTACGACCCCATTGGCTCTTCTTTACCATCATAAAATATGCAACCAGTACATCAATAAAGAAAAAATATAAAAACATTGATTAGTAAATGAATGGAGTTACCACACTCCCTTAGTAACAAAAATGTACCTTTAATATTATGTTTCAAATACTGTAAGCTATTTCTTAAACTAAACATTTCTAGTTAGCTAGTTACCCATATTTTAGTTTCATACCTTACCAAAATGTAAATCATGTTTTTCAGTTTCGAATTAAATCGTTTCGTAGAAGTTATCAATAGTTTGACTTGTGATAATATTACCTTACTGCGTTGTTACTCCATTTTCACATTTTCTGTGGTGTATGTATACGTTCTTATTGACACGCCCTAGTTGCTTTTATAGCTTACATTGCATTAGTATGCTTGGAGCCACGTTATGAGGTTATGTCATTCAAAATAAGGCGACATTTTTATTGCACTTAAAAATCTAAATTTTATTAAGCAATTGATAACAGTTTGAGGTTCTATGGTATTGTGTCAATACAAATATTATTAAGCTCGATACATATTCACCTCAGAGAGGTTAAGTTGATTTATCTCATCTATAAAGCACGCTAGGTATAAAAATATGGCCGTCTAGCAACCCCAGAGCCAAGAACGTGATCTTAAAAATAATCCTCTTTCAATAAATATTGCTATTCAACGCGAATTCCCCAGTTTTCAAGAGAAATTGTCTCAAGTTTAATTAAGTCCAGATATAAAGCGTGGCAGAAGGTGCCTCAAGATTGTTGCCAGGCGATTTCTTATTTGTGTCACGTAAACGTGATAGTGGTTTTATTTTACGCAAGTGATCTCCTAGTGTTTCACCTCCCGCTGAATAATATAGATTAAGAATGACAATTCTGTAGACGTGCGACATGGAGGTTGGGTTAGTATTATGCCTATGCTTCAATATTTGCTATGAGACAACACGAGGTGAGACTTGTGAAGTTCTGAATTATTGTTACGTAATGCAACTTAATTTATAAAAAATGGAGCTTGCGAATAAAGTGTAAAATAAAACCCACAAATATGTGTAATAGTCATTAGTACACGTAAATGTGGTCAATATAATAAACCAAAATTTTTTTTTACTACTGCTAGCACACTATAAAATATTGTTTAAAAAATAAAACACATTTCATAAAATATTCCATAAAAGAAAAAAAAAGTGTTAGCTGTAAATACGCTACACTATTGTCACAACAATTACAAGAAAAATAGAACAAAGTAAGAAGTAGCACTAAGTTCATTAGATAAATGTTTTCTTTTATTAACTTAGTCTTTGTGAGAAAATGTTGTTTTCTAAGAATTAGTCAGATCTCCGTTGCCCGTGGCGGATTGCTTATTTGCATACAAAGCGAGAGAAGCCTTGATTATTTCTATTATTTCCGCACCAGTGTTGCTTTCGAATGTTCAATTAAATTGCAACATATTTTTTTTTGTATTGGCAACACGATAGGCCGTTCCGAATTATACGTTATCTGTGCAAAGGAAAATGGCGGCTGGGAAGTCCGGAGAGGAAATAAAAGTTTGGAGATTAAATTGTTACTTATTTATTTGTTTAGTTCAACTGTTTATTTGATTTTGGGGAATTGGGAGAATCCAATTTAACCATTTTATTGTAGGTTATTGTTTAAGTAAATGAAATTACTGCAATGTTGATTAAATAATCGTAATCATAGCTACTGAAGGGCTGAGATTCGGTTTCGTCAAACTCATGTTGTCAATTAGACCTCAAAAAGAAAAATGCAGATGTACACTTTGATACACGTATAATACTGTGGCGATACATGATACATGCCAAATGACAGCTTACGCAAATAAACTATCGATTAAAACGAATCAGTGGATTACGTCATAAAACTCTACCCTCTGTTCCCTAAAATACTACATTTTAGACTAAACTTGGTTAAACAATATTACTACTGTTACATGTATGTATTAGTCTGTACTAGCTTTTACCCGCGGCTTCGCTCGCGTCACAAAAGGATAAAAGTAGCCTATCTGACATATACCAATACATACAGCGCCATCTATACCAATAATTTCGTTTTCCCTTGAGAATACCAAATTTTTCTGGGATAAAAAGTACCCTATTATTTAATCTAGACTTCTAACTTCACGTCTGCAAAAATTCAAAGCAATCGGTTTAGTAGTTACAGCGTGATAGTGGAACAAACAAACAAACTCACTTTCCGATTTATAATATTAGTAAGGATTAACATCACTATTTAGTAAGTGATGGCCCCTCACTATAATGTGTTATATAAGGTAGGACACTCGTCAATATAAAAATAGTCATAAAGGTCCAGGCTTTTCTATTCACGTTTGACTCTTCTGGGAATAAAAACCATGATACTATTACTCAGTGTATGTTGTTTTGAATCACCCCGATATAGTTTCAGTCCCCACCCAGGCCAAGTTATTATAACTCACACCGGTACTATCATATTTCGTGTAGAGCAGTTGGAAACTCCACTTAGCTGTACCGGCTTTGGGACTGCTTCAACTTATGTGTTGTTCGGCTCGGTGCTTGGGTGATACAGTTTAATTATAACGCTGGTATTGTGTATATTGATGAAGGATACCGTATTGAATTATTTTTGTAAGTTTCTAAAAGATATATGTTTTTAAAAGCCTTAGAATGTAGATGAAAACATTATTAAGTTTATGCAGTACTATTATTGTATTTTAATCATACTGAGAAGCAATTCCTCTCTGTGTGGAACTAATTTTTAGTAATAGAGTATCAATTTAAGTTGATCTTAAAACATAATAAAAACATACGGTTGGTTAAGAAACTTTTACTTCTTAAAATTATAGCCATTACAATTGGCGCCCAACGTGGGACATAAACTACCGCAGCAACTGCCAAAATCTCACCAAATAATTTGCCACATAAATTCTTAAAAAGATGTAAACCCCACAATATTATATGCAGAAACGACACAAGTGCCTACTAAGCACATATCGTAAAAACTCACGCACCATAAACCCGCCACTTGTCTTCTGAGCACAATTTATCCGACTACCCTCACTTCTTCAAACATTTAATGACGCACTCCACAGATAATACTTATCCCCCAACTTGTTCCTTTAGTCCCCTTCACTCTTCAGTCCCCATTAGTCCCCAGTGCGATATACCCCCAAACTTTAGGATTAACAATGATATTTTTCATCTCTTTACCCAGCTTTTTTTCTAAGGGTACCTCAAGGAGGTATTGGAGTTGTGAAGAATTTTACTCCCAATTGTGGAATTAGTAGGAAATTTTGTTTTGTATTTTTTTTAATAGTGCACAAGTTTGGCGATTTTTTTTTATTGTTATTTTTATCTTTATTATTATTACTTAGTTGAAATAATATTTTTGTTTGAATTGTTCTTTTTGCTGATAAAGGATCTTCGGGAACGTTGTTCACAAAATACTTTTGCATAATTTTATTTAGTGACTAGTGGTCCGTATCGCCTTCACTTGGGTGCTATTTTCTGACTTCCAAGGAGATTAGGTTACCCTTTTTTTTCCTTTCATACATACCCTTCACCTGACAATAGCAAACAGAATCAAGACAGAATTATCTCTAAAAATTCAAAATGTTCACTCAGCTTTAGGAATAATTTTAATACGTACTTTGTAAGGTAAGCTGGTAACAACGGAACTGAATTTCACCGGTAATAGCCATAATCTTACCTGCAATTTCGGAGTACCCTCACATAATTCTATTTTACTGCAGTAACACACACATATACAGACGAATTCACGTGTACACTATTACAGTGAAATTAAGCAGTTTCATATGCATTGCTGTTCAGTCGCGAGTTACAATGAGACATATCACGAGAGGATGCGACGCACTGAGTTAGATATAGGCGTTTGTGATAAGCGGAGCGATTTAATACAAAACGGAGGTAAGTATGAGGTTGCTTTGTGATTCCTTTAATTGCTTGTCTTCTGATGGGACGGTAAAAGATAATGGAATGGAAGTGACACAATTCTGGTATTTTTGAGCGATTTACAAATTGTTATAACTATGTATCTTTTGTGTTTCTAAATATGCTTCAAAATTATGTTGCAAGATTTCACTTCACACATATTGTATTATTGTAGTGTATATACTTTCTTATACTTTGATGATTTTTGTTCATTTCTTTTCTCTTTTAAGTCTATTATTAATGCTTTGTTTTTATATAAGTATCTGTATTTTTATTTAAATTTTTAATAATCCTAGTTATTGTGTGCCAATAGTCAAATAAATGCTTTTTCTTTCTTTCTTTCTATATTAATTTATACATAGATCCACACATATATTACAAGTAAGATGAAGTTTTGTTTGTTTTTTCGCGTACCTCAGCTTTTCTTGTTACTAAAAGAATAATATTTATTTTCTTAGCGAAATGGCTGTATCAGTAGGGATGCCTAATCGATTTTTATGCCTAATGTTCGAAATAAAAACTTGTAAATAAATTAATCCACTTCGATTCATTAGCAATCATCAATGGTTTAATGTAATTGTTGTGTTGGAGGTATATTAACGAAAATGCATGTAGAATGGAGAATGGCACTTAATAGACAATAAGTTAATATATATACCTCTCACCATCTTATAAGTATATGTAAATAAACATTAACATACAAGCAATAAGCAATGACTGCCTCGTTGGTCGAGTGGTCGCAATTGCGATTGCCGGGCAAGGAGTTTCAGGTTCGATTCCCGGGTCAGGCAAAGTACTACTGGATTTTTAAAAAAATCTGAGTAGTAGCACATAGCCTGGAACTATGCCCGGTATATGGCAATAGGCTCACCCCCTATAATATGGGACTCATAAC